AAGGCCACACCACCAGCTCTTGACCCGGAGCCCTTGACTCCCCGCGACGCCAATTGTCTTCCCTCTGGACCCACCGACGGGAGGGGCTTTGTCGTCCTCCAACCCCTTCAGTCCGTCCCATACTAGGCCACAGTTCAATTTGTAACAATGAAATTGGGGGTCACCACAACATGAGGAACTCTATGAAAGGGTCACGGCATTAGGAAGGTTGAGAACCACTTCCCTAGGGCTTCCTCAGAAAGACCATGTGAGCAGCACTGCTGAGCTTAGCAAGCGGTGCACGTTCCAGAGGCCAGAGTGTTAGTGAAGGGATGAGCGGACGGGTGCTCCAGCTCAGCCAGACCCAGGAAGGATGCGGGACCCTGGGGGGAGGCCATCACGTGGGTGGAAAGTTACCAGAAGGGAAATAGAGCCAAGGTGGAATCACTAATCAAAATGATCCAGCCAGGCTGCCACCTCCACTGTGCTGGCCTCCAGGCCAGGGGCGGTGGGGACTGAAGGACCCTCCCGCAGGGGCTCAACTTCCTGGAAGAGTGATGAGCTGGACTGTGGCCCAGCTGGAAGCAGCTTGGATTCTAAAAATCTGAGCGAGCCCAGAGAAGACTTCCCCAGGCTGACATGGGCCAAGGGCCTTGGACCAGGTCCACATGATTCATGGAAAGAACCAAAAGAAAGCTTCTCAGTCTTCTATTCGATTCAGCCACAAAGCCACTCCTACACTGAGGATAAGTCCCAAGCCTGGCATGTGAGGGTGTTCATGTGTGTGTGTTCATGTGCATGTATGCATGTGTGCATGTATATGTTTGTGTGTGTGTATGCATAATGCAGGGAGGAGGGAAATTTGTGCCTCGTGAATCTTGTGAGAGAGGGAGTTCTGTGGCCAAGGGGCATTTGTCTGAAGTCCTCCCTTGCCTGACCCATCTTTGCTCAGAAAGCCCTGGCTAATCCACGGACAGTCTGTCCAAAGGATAGGGCCTCAGAGCGGCCAGGAAACAGTTATTGTTTGACAGGAAATGCTGAGGCTGGTTAATGATAAACCTCCCTCCCTCCCTTGGTTTTTCTCTCTTAACAGAACATCCAATCTCAAAATCTTTAGCAACCATTAATAGGATTTAAATGTGTTTCTACTGCGATTAGGCATGCTCTTTGGAAGGGAGGCATGATGTCACTGACTACGTTCCGGGGCTACAGAGGATGTTCCTAGAGCTGGGCTGTATATCGCATCTGCCAATTACTCCCTCCCCAATCCCCCCTATGCAGAAAATTGTAACCAGACAGTCCGGCTTCCGGAGAGACCAGGATCCGGGACCCCCTGGTACCTGGTGGCCCCAAATGGTACCTGGTGGGCATGCACCACCGGAATCACCCCCCGCATATTCTCCCTAAACCTCCAGCCCTCGGCCTGGCTCTGCCCTAACTTGCTGGGCCACTGTGGCCAGGTCACTGCTCCTCTGGGGTGACCCCCTGTAGTATAAAGGGAGGCCCAAGATCGCTGAGCATCCTTGTAGCCTGATGGGCTATGAATTCATGGTTCTGGAGGGTGCTTAGGGGAGAGATGCAAGTTGCAGGTCTGTGCACATGCTTCCAGAAAGGGAGAAAAGAGCAAGGATGCAGCTAACAGAACTAAAAGCAAACCGCTAAGCCAAGCCATCCTCCTGCCAGGGCCACTCCCAGCAACCCCCGCCCAGAACCCCTGCCCACACAGCTGCTTCTAGAACCCCCGCCCAGGCCTGGGCCACACAGCTGGCTCGGGCTCCCCACTAGCTGGAGGTGCCTGGAAGAGGCTGCTAAAGGCCTTGTGGGCCAACAGTCAGCTGACCTGAAAGGCAAAGACATCCTTGATCAGAGCTTCCCCAAACACGAATTTGGAGCCGGCCTTGGTGTAGTTCAGGAAGATCTGAAAGGAGAAAACAAAATAAAATGAAATCCAGAGTGAGCCCATGAGGGAGGGAGGGAGGGAGGGAGGAAACAGTGGCAGGTTGGTCCCAGGACGAGGCCCCCAGGCCTTGGCCTTGTAGGGGCTGGAAACCACGTGGCAGTGTGCGTTGTTAAAGCCCCATTGATGGCCACTCTCTCCAGAAGACACACCCTTTCAATAAAATTTAAAGAAATGCTCTGAGATGAGAGTTATTTAGAGAATAAATAAACAACAAAGGGAGCCAAACAGTGAGAGGTGAGACGGCTGTCAAGGGCTGCCTCACCTGCCGGCCTGCTACCCCCTCCCTCCTGACCAAGGGCACAGCCCCCATCTGTCCCTGCCCCAGGCTCTTGGCTTTGGTGTTTGAATCTGGCCACACTTCCACAGAAGACCTGATTTAGGTCCGGGACGTGCATTGTGGCTGCAGGGACAAGTCACTTCTCCTATCCAGGCCTCAGCGTCCCCATCTATAAAATGGGGAACACGACCTGAGTAGCAGCTCTGTCTCTTCTGCTCCAACACCCACACGGAGCCAGAGCACGGACACGCAGGGCTTTCTCCTCCAGGGCACGTGGAAATGTGTGCCTTCAGGGCTGAGTACAGGATTAACCTTTTGTCTTCCGTAATTCATATTTTACAAAGTCAGTCATGATGGTTGCACAACAATGTGACTAAACTCAATGACATTTAAAAATGGTTAAAATGGGCCCTAGCTGGTTTGGCTCAGTGGATAGAGTATCAGCCTGCGGACTGGAGGGTCCCGGGTTCGATTCCCGTCAAGGCACATGCCCGGGTTGCGGGCTCAATCCCCAGGAGGGGGTGTGCAGGAGGCAGCTGATCAATGATTCTCTCTCATCATTGATGTTTCAATCTCTCTTTCCCGCTTCCTTAATCTCTGAAATAAATAAAATATATTTAAAAAATAAAAATGGCTAAATTGGTAACTGTTATGTGTATTTACTAGAATAAAAAATGAAATTTAGAAAGTATAACTTCAATAGACTAAACATTGTCTTTAAACACACACATACACAAAGTAAATAGTTTGCAATTTTCTAAGCACTCCCAATATACATCCCACATCACTGATGACTGCCAAGGACCGCATGCCTCTCTCCGGTATCAGACTCGGCCTCTGAGGGGACTGCTCTGTCCGGGGGCACCAGGACTGAGGGAAGTACCAGCTGCACAGCCTAGCCCCCAGCTACCCACTTGGTCTGGGGCCCATTACACATCAACCATCTTGGTCCCAATCCCTCTCTGAGGCCTCACCTCCCATTGTCCCCCAAGAGAATGGTGTCTCATTCCCTGGCAACCCCAGATGCCCTGGGAAGCCGGGCTCCATGTACACACCTGGATCTGGTCGCCCAGCCACTTGAATGCAATAAATCCAGGTTCTGTTCTGATGACAAAGAGGCCAAGTACAAACTGTAGCCCAAGACCCCAGGACACGGTCCGCCAAGACACCTGCCGGCGATACAGAAAGGTCCTGGTGAGCTCAGCTCCCCGGGGGCACCCACCGGGGACAGGGTGGGGTGAGAGCAGAGGCCAGGGGGCTGCTCTGAGGGGCTACGGGCGCTTTAGCCTGCCTGTAGGATAGGGCTGGACCCAGCCAGGGGTTGGACCTATTGCCAGTGGTCACATCCTTCCTGGAGTTCATAATAGGCCACACCCTTGGCGGCAGTGAGACTCGGGCAGCAGGCAGAAGTGGGCAGGTCTAACCGAGGACCCATGTAAGCCTTCACCAGCCTTGGGCATGCCATGGCACTTGGTCCCGGGTCATCACTGGGTGGGCGGAATTGTAGCCTCAGGGTCGGGCCTCAGTGAAACCTTCGTCTGCCTGGACCCTCCCCCCATTCCTCCTCCATAGGCAGGGACCCCGTTGCCGTAATCTCCCTCTGTCAATGTTCTCACTCCAGCAGCAGGGAGCTGGATGCCTCTCAGCATTTAATGATTCCTTAGTGGTGATCCCCAAACTCAGGTGTGCATCAGGATCTCTGGGGGGCCTGGCTGGAGCCGGGGGTGAGAGAGGGGGGAGTGGGGAGGAGGGGAGGTGTTAGCCACACTGTGAAACCAGGAGGGGTCCTGATACTGGGGTGGTTGCATTGCCAAGGAGGCAGCGGGAGAGGAAGGGCTGAGCCCCACTCACGCCTGACAACTAAGCACTCACTGCGCGGTGATGCTTTGAGCAGGCAAAGAGGATGCCAATGAACACGCAGATGCCTGCGAAGGACACCAGCTGCTCAGGCCGCTGGGAGGTGTCCAGAGCCAGCCACAGGACCAGGCCCAGGAAAGCAGCGAGGGCTAGACCCCTGCAGGGGAAAGGCAGAAAGACATCACCCTCAGCATCTTCCCCAACCCCACGCAGGAGACCACCCGGGCTCCAGGGAAAGCACACTCAGGGCTGGTGGGAGGAGAGAGCTGTGTGACTTCAGGAAAACCACCTAGCCTCTCTGAGTCTCATTTACTCACTGGGAAAAGGAGGCCAAAGGCTCCCCATTTCTCAGGGTTGAGAGGGGACTAAATACTAAATACAGTGAGATCACATCCCACCATTATACACTCTGTACGTGTTGTTAGGCCCGGCTGGCACGGCTCAGTGGTTGAGTGCTGACCTATGAACCAGGAGGTCAGGGTTTGATTCCCAGTTAGGGCACATGCCCGGATTGCAGGCCCAACCCCCAATAGGGGGCATGCAGGAGGCAGGTGGTCAATGATTCTCTCTCATCACTGATGTTTTTATCCCTCTCTCCCTCTTCCTTCCTCTCTGAAATCAATAAAAATATACTGAAAAAAAATTCTCTGTTGCCCTGGCCGATGTGGCTCATGAGTTAGAGCATTGGCCCGTGGACTGAAGGGTCTCAGGTTCGATTTACAGTCAAGGGCACCTACATGGGTTGCAGGTTTGATCCCCGGTCCCAGTCAGGGTGTGTGTCTCTCTCACATCGATGTTTCTTTCTCTTTCTCTCTCCCTTTCCTTCGCCCTCTCTCCTTCCCTCCTTTCCTCCCTTCTAGTTTCTGAAAATCAATGGAAAAAATATCCTTGGGTGAGGATTATTAACAACAACAAAATCCCCTGGGGGCTGCCTAAAAGTAATGACACCTGGACCCTAGCCCAGCCTGCTGATTCAGACTCCAGGGTGGTCACCCTGCAGCCACATGTCTCACACAGGTCCCCGATGATCTGATAGGCCCTCCCTGCCCGGATGAGCTGGGGTCTCTTACTTTAGGAAACTGCTGAGTCCTGTTCTCTGCTGTCAGCTGTAGTAACTGGGGCAGAGACCAGACAGGAACTGGCAAATGTCCACAAAGATTGCTGCCACCTTTGAAGCCACCAGCGACGCTTGCCCTGGGGCTTCCAAAAGGCAAGCAGGGTGGAGTACGCTCCCCATGGCACAGGAACTGGCTGTTGGGATGGCCCGAGGCCCTGCTCAACCATTCCTGGCTGTGCCCCCAGAGCTGACTCAGAGGCCCTCAGTCAATGTGCCCCGCTCCTTCTCACCCCGCCCTACCTGGGGGCTTTGAGCTCACTCACCTCTTAAACCAGAGGCTCTGGCGGCGGGAATGCTCCCAAGGCGTGGCACACCTCCGCAGGTTTGGTCCCAGCCGCCTCTTCAACAGGCTGTAGGCCAAGAAGGCCAGGACCACACAGGTGAGGACAAACAGGGGCAGGGCCCTCTGGAAATTCAGGATGCAGGCAGTCAACAGGAAGGCCGCGAACGCTGGCAGTGGGAGGGGAAAGTACAAGAAGGGGGGTCAGTGATGACATGGGTCTCTGCGGGCCCCTGCAGCCCCGTCCTCCGGCTCCAACTGCCCCATCCAGAACTTGGAGGGCAGGAACTTCACCCAACCCCTCTGAGCCTCGGTTCCTCACCTGGAAGTGCCAACAATCATCCTTCCTGTGATGAGGGTTGTTACCGAGGTAACTGATAGAGTGGTGTATAAGGGCTCTGCGAACTGCAAAGTGTTGACCAAACGTGAGCGAGGAGATGTGTTCGGAAGAAGCTAGAGCCAGTGATGGCGAACCTTTTGAGCTCGGCGTGTCAGCATTTTGAAAAACCCTAACTTAACTCTGGTGCCGTGTCACATAGAGAAATGTTTTGATATTTGCAACCATCGTAAAACAAACACTTATATTTTTGATATTTATTTTATAGATTTAAATGCCATTTAACATAGAAAAATCAACCAAAAAAATGAGTTCGCGTGTCACCTCTGACACGCGTGTCAGAGGTTCGCCATCACTGACTGCTAGACAGTGTGGCTTCTTCTAGCGTCAAAAGAGGGCCTGCTATGCCCCAGAGCTCACTGGGTTCCAATGAGGACAGAGTAAGTGAGTCAGATACTCCAGGAAGGCGTCCACTTATTTGTGCCAGGATTCCCTTCTGAAGTATTAAACAGTGACATTTCCTGCCTGGAATGTCCTTTTCCCCCTTTGCCCTCCTCCCCTTCGAGGAGCTAAACCAGTCTGTGCTATGCCTCCAGAAAGGAATATGAGCCCGGCCAGTGTGGTTCAGTGGTTGAGCATCGACCTGTGAACCAGGAGGCCACAGTTTGATTCCCAGTCAGGACACATGCCCGGGTTGCAGGCTCGATCCCCAGTAGGGGATGGGCAGGAGGCAGCCGATCCATGATTCTCTCTCATCATTAATGTTTCTCTCTCTCTCTCTTCCTCTTCCTTTCTCTCTGAAATCAATAAAAATATTTTTTTTAAAGAAAGGAATAGGATAGTAGATAGTAGATAGATCGTGGATAGTAGATAGAGGGGAAATATCTCTCCCTGGCTTATGAGTTTCAAAAGCCAGGGCTCTTGAAGAATGGGAAGATACGCGTAGCCTTTCCATTGGATAAAAGACGTGAGATGAAACACTGTGAGTGTAAGCTCTACTCGACCCCCTCTGCTACCAGACTAATTGGAGAGTCTGCACTTGGCTTTCTCCCACATTTATGTAATCGTCCTTTCGTTCCCTCCTTAATCTCAAATGCATAAAAGAAACTGCAAACTGTTAGTCTCAGAAGTATTTTTCTCAGTCCGTGGAGATCTTGCTTGCAGGCAGGCATATCCTCTGTTTGACTCAAATAAAGTATCATAAAAACTCTCTACAGGCTGGCATGTTCTTACATCGATGCAATATCAGCCCTTTCTCATCTGTCCAGCCTCATCCTCTGGCTCCTTGTCTAGAACATTACCCTCTGGCCACACTAGGCTGTTGATCAGCTCCCTGTTCACATCCTGTCCCTTTTCACTTTTGCTCCTGGGGTTCCTCTGCATGGAGTGCCTCTCACTCCTTGTTGTCCTTCCCCTCCACCTGGCCAACTCCTGCTCAACCTGTGAGACTCAGATGCCACCTCCTCTTGGAAGTCCTCCCTGATCACCCCCCTCCTTCCTTGGTGCTCCCAGATGGCAAGCGGCACTATGTGGACATAGTTGTTGCCCTCTCCCTAACTGATCAACATCTGGTCTTGGGAACAACATCTGGTCTGCCTTAATTCTGCTGGCCCTGCTTCTGGCATGCTCAGCCCTGAGCTGTTGCTCAACAAAGCTCTGTTGACTTACTGGGTAAGTGAACGACCCTGCCCTGAGACATGGATGGCTGGGGTGGAGATGGCTGAAATGGGTGGGCGGGGTGGGTGGGGCTGGGCCCAGGCTCACCAGTGCAGAGCAGGCCTATGCAAATCCATCGGAACAGTTGTGCGTGCTCCCTGTAGAAGTGCCGCACTCTCAGGGCAGCCTGCAGGGTCCTCCTAGGGAGAAGACCAGAGGGTCCACAAGTGGCCCCCAGACTCCCGTCCCCATGGGGATCCTCAGCACCTCCAGGTAGAAGCTGCTCCAATAAAATGGTGACCTGGGGTGAGCCAGGCACTGGCCTTGACATCCCACAGTGAGAAAGAGCAACCCCAGCCCAGAGCAAACCGGGGAAAGGCTCAGGCTACTCAGCACCACCCCAGTGATAACCCTGCCTGCAGAGCTCGAGGGGAATGACCTGCCAACAGGAAGAACTTACCAGCAACCAGCTACCCAACAACATGCACAGATCATGCCGGCTGCCTCCCTCCTGTCCCATGGAGCAAGGTGGAGAGGCTCTCACCTCTGCATTTACTCCCTTGGGACCCTCCTCGCTGAGTCAGTAGTCCTTCCGGAGACATGGGAACAGCCCCCTTTATGCTCCAGCTGTGACCCCACTGCCTTCCAGGCCCAGTGCAATGCCAGTTCTTGCCTGGTCATTTGGTCACTGGCCTAGCCCTGCAGTAGAGGCTGGAATCTGGATAGCCCCTGTGGTCCCACAGGCTGCACACTCAGAGCTCATTAGGCATCAGCTGCTGTTTTAAGGACCCTCTCTTCCCTCTCTCTGTCCCATCTCCCACCTCCTAAGTGCATCTTCCCCAATCTCGCTCCAAGACAGACAGATGGAACCCCCGCCTCCTGTTCTCCTCAACTCAGGACTGGCCAGTGAGGGCCCCAGTGGACCTAGGTATTGGGAGGCCTAGTTCTAGGCTCCTACTTGCTGCCTGTGTGGCCTGGGCCCATCCCCTTCCTTCAGCCTTCCCATGTGAAAAGGGGGGCCTGACCGAGTCCAGGGGTTTTCAAACTAAGCCTCGAGGTTCCCAAGGTGCCCAGAGACTGAATGGTTAAGAGGGGGGCCAGTTTGGTTTGGGGGCCCCATCCAAGGTAAACCATGAGTAGCCCTGCACCATATTTTGGGGTTTCCAATGGGATTTCACTCTGGCTGCTTCAAAGCAGGTTGGGAGCCTCGGGCCTGGCACACTCATTTGCTAAATCGTGTTTTCTCCTTCCTTCAGCCTAGATACAGGAGGTTGCCTTTCTACCTGGCAGAGAGCACGCTCCCACCCCTGCTCCCCACTCCCGCTCCCCATGGTGGCCTCCTCTCCTACCCAGCCTGCGTCCCCTCCTGGAGACCACCTACCTTCCTGAGAGGGGCTCCTGGCTGGCTTCGTTCAAATTGTTCCTGTCTTCCGCATGGTTCAAGTCGCTGCCCAGGGGCTGGTCTTCCTCCTAAAGCCCCCAGAGAATGACCACAGTGTCTCCGCCACCCCAAGTGAGAACCGGAGCTGGGGGCCCAGAGTGGGAGGGGCCCTGGCTGCCACCAGGAGTGGGCTGGGGTGGGGGCTGGGCTGTTGCACAGGAAGTAATTAGAGGGCAACTGAAATTCTGCAGAGCATGCATTGAGCACCTACTGTGTGCTGGGCTCTGTGCTAGGGAGGGGCACTGAGCTGTGCCTGAGCTGTGGCTGGTGGGAGTCCCAAGCAGGGCCTCCTGGTCACACAGCCCCAGGACACAAATAACCTCACAGTCTGTGGAGTTAGGCTCTGACATGTAGCGGGGTTACTCTTGCAAATTACGATGTGAAAGGTGCACCCTGGGTTGTGCAGTGTGGTGAAGGGGAGGGAACTAGGGGAGGAAAGAGGATGTCATTTTAGGCTCCAGAGTTCTGGGTGGTGGGCCCCAACCTGGCCAGCTCCTCAAAGGCTGAGACTTCCTCAGGGACCCTCACCCCCACGCCACCCCCACCCCCACGTGCTTTCTCTTTCTCATCCTTTAAATCACAGCCCGACGGCTCCTCGTTGTTGAGACCTTCCTGACCTTTCAGACTAGGGCAGGCCCTACCGGCACGTGGTGGGCACACAACAAGTGTTGAGGAAGTGAAATAAGGGGCTGCTCTGCACTGAGGAGGCCAGCACACAGGGGAGTGGGGTGGGGGTGGGGGCACGTGGGGATCCTAATTGTTGAAGTAACCAGGTGAGGGGTGGGGAGGAAATGAAGGAAGATGGTGAACAAAGGCCCTTCCCACTAGGGGACCAAAATGGGACTGCGGAAGGGGACAGACCAGCTCATCCCCCATGTTGGCCACGGCTGCGAGAGAGACGGACTCTTTGGGTCTTGTTGTGTCGTCCTCCATGTGCCAGACCTTCCAGCTGAAAGACAGAGTGAGGCCCAAAGCTGAAAGGGGGAAGGCCAGGCAGGACCCGGGGAGGGGCCCAAGGAAGGGAGGGGGATGGGAAGGGAGAGGGCTGGCAGGGGGGACCAGACAACTAGCATAGTTGCTACCATCCCAGAACTCAACCCTCATCATGGCTGGGGGCCATGGCCATGATTCCCCAAGGACAGAGGAAGGCATCCCTTCCTGCGCTCACTTCTGAACCTGTGAGAGGCAAGTTCTCAGAAACCCCGAGTCCAGGCAGAAGCAAAGGAAGTCTGCCCCCCTGCACAGGGAAGAGAAGGAAGGAATTCTGCATAGCACGTAGGTGTTCCTGATACAGGTATTTTTGTGAAGAGAGGCCCTAGCTTTCAACGCTCCCCACAATAGGTTAAAACCATTGCCATTGCCCAGCTGGAGCCGAGTGGCTCAGTGGTCGAGCATCGACCTATGAACCAGAAGGTCGCGGTTCGATTCCTGGTCACGGGCACATGCCCAGGTTGCAGGCTCGATCCCCAGTGTGGGGCGTGCAGGAGGCAGCCAGTCAATGATTCTCTCTCATCATTGATGTTTCCATCTCTCCCTCTCTCTCCCTCTCCCTCTCCCTGCCTCTCTGAAATCAATAAAAATACACTATATTAAAAGAAAAACACACACACCATTGCCATTAAGTGATATTTTCATTGTATTGTACTGTCCCACCTCTGAAAGGTGGAGACACAATGTCCTGAAGACTTCATTCTAGTCCTTGTACCCAATTGTACCTGAAGTCAGCCCTACCCCAGAGGGACTTTGCAATTACTGATAGAACCTCCCTTCCCCCAACTGGTGGGCGGAGTATGACTTAACCTGCAGCCTGGAAACACCTGAGCGACTAACCATGTACCTTATATGGACGATACATTGAACCACCAATCAACACCTGCCAAATACCCTAAGCCCTTGTTCCTATATGGAACATACAGTAAGCCACCAATCAGCACGTGCCGAGTACACTAAGCCCCCATTCCTTCCCTTTCCGCCCCTCAAAAGGCGCGCTCACCTCTGCACGAGTTGCTGTCCTCCCCTTGCGAGACAGCCCTGCAGGTCTTCTCCTCTAATAAAGCCTGTAGTCCTGGTTTTCGGCCTCTTGTCGACACAAGAGCCAATACTGTCCTTTTTCTTTCTTTCTTTTTTTTTTTAACTGAAGCTCAGTTCATAGGCTTAAACTCACCTGTAAGTCAGAGCCCTGAGACCCCGTATCTCCCCATATCTTCCCTCTTTTTTTCTTCCCCTTGGGTGGCAACCTACACTATCCAAACAGCAGCCCGGTTAAGCTCACGGTGTGCACACAAGAGCAGCAGCATCTGTGTAAGGGCACCCACACGTGGAGCCTGGGGAAGCTCAGCTACTCATGCACACACACAGACACAGACACACAGCCGCACGGAGGGAGGCAAGATCCTCTTCCTACTCACATATCTGTGGTAAACAAGCCACTCTCCGGGGCAGGCGGCAGCGTGTTTTTCTGTGAAGACAGGCTGTGTGCAACATGCTTTCACTTTAGCCTGAGTTCTCATTTTAAGGGGAATTCCGGGGCAGAGTTCAGATTTGACGTAGGTTGGGCGTCCCACACAACAAAGGAAGTTAAAAATTCCCCTAACGTGAAACTTTCAGAGATGACCACCACAAAGTTTGTGGCACTTTCTGTCCGGACTTTTTTCTTAAGTGAATACTACTAAATGTCATTCATTTTACCAAAGGGGCTCAGACTATACCAGCCTTTTTGCAACTTGCTTTTCTGGGCAGAAATCCACACTTTGCCCTGCCCACTCAGTGGGGGAGCCAATGTGCTGTCTTGATTCTATTAAAAGTAATAAACAGGAACTCATTTAAAAGGGCGTGGGTTCGTGGGTTCCTGTAGCCCAGCGGGAAGACGTCTCTGTTTATCTTAGCTTTCCAGAATTCCTCTTCTACGAAAGAATTTCCTCCCTTTGTTGAAACTTCGAATGGTTTGCTATTAGGCTAGGCAGCAATTGTCCTGAATGGCAATTCTTTGTTTTTCCCAAATAAACCCATTTTGCTAGAGAAATATCTGGCTGCCTATTTGTTTCAGGTCAACAACTGTAAACTCAGTGCCCATCCCGTCATCTGGTGTATCCTGAGCAGGCCACCTGCCTCTGTGTGCAACCTCCACAAGGGTGGGCGGAGCTACCCTCACAGGGGCCTCATCAAGTGAGTCGCAGTCAAGGCAGAGGGGTCTGAAGCTGCTTCTCTGCCTCGGTCCCCTTCTCACCTCTCCCCCTTCCCTCCCTTCCTCCCTGCCCCCTCCTCTCTTCCCTTGGTGTCCAGACAGGCGAAAGCCTGGAAACACAACACATCCAGAAGCAGCCAAGCTTGTTTCAAAGCATTCCCTCTATTGCAGCTTACGACCTTGACCTCTTTTGTAAAAAATATTTTTTTATTGATTTTAGAGAGGAAGGGAGAGGGAGAGAGAGATAGAAACATCAATGATGAGAGAGATTCATTGATCCACTGCCTCCTGCACATCCCACACTGGGGATCCAGCCCCAAACCCAGAAACGTTGCCCTGGCCTGGAATCAAACTATGATTTCCTGGTTCATAGGTCAACGCTCAACCACTTAGCCACACCGGCCAGGCATCTCGACCTTTTCATGTGCCCTAATCTCCACAGCAAGGACTTAATAGGCTGTGTGTCATGAGATAAAATCCTGAGCGTGGAGCTGAAAGGTCTAGATTCATTCCTGTCTCTCCAAGGCAGCCTGTCTCCTCATCTGTAACACAGCGGGGGTGGGTAAGAGTATCTGCCTCTTAAATATTCATGAGGGTTAAGTGAGCTAATTTTGGTGGGTGCTTGGCAGACAGCCTGGCACCCTCAGGCTGGCAGGTGTCATCACTGCTACAGTCCCACCTCAGAGCTGTCTTGGCATATTCTCCTCCTCCAGGCCAGGAGACCCTGTGCTTCTCCGCTGCTGCCCCCACTCAAGGAGGAGTGACCGTAGTGGACCTGGCCCCCAGAAACCAGATGCTCTTTTTTTATTTTTTAAATATATTTTTATTGATTTCAGAGCTGAAGGGAGAGGGAGAGATAGAAACATCAATGATGAGAGAGAATCATTGATCAGCTGCCTCCTGCACGCACCACACTGGGGATCGAGGCCGCAACCCTGGCATGTGCCCTGACCAGGAATTGCCCCCTGACCTCCTGGTTCATAGGTCAACGCTCAACCACTGAGCCACTGAAGTCAGGCACCAGATCTCTTTTCAGGTGGCATTCGGCTAAAAGCCACAGGCTGGGCAGTGAGGAGGCTGGGTGGGTTGAGTTGAGGCCACCAGGGAAAGACTGAGAGCTGGGGGACCGCAGGGGTCCTGGCTCTGCCCCATCCAGCTGTGTGACTGCAGCACTCAGTGCATCACTTGTGGCCTGTTTCCTGAGGAGGCTGTTCCTGAGATGTTTAGCTCTGAGGCCTGTCCCACCCACGGGATGGTAGAGTGAGGCCTGGGCCTGAGCCAGGCAGAGGAAGACAAGGAATAAATATACATATATATTTCCTTTCCAACCAAAACAAAACAGCGCTTGGATTTATAATGAAGAGGCTGCTCCACCTCGCCCATGCCTGTCCCACTCTTTAGAGGCAACCACTTACCTGTTTCTGGGTTTAGTTCTTTGGGGCCACCTTCTGTTTCTGGGGAATTCTTGGCCAAGCCACGGGAAGGAAATCCTTCTCCTTGCCAGGCTTTGATACAATAAAGAGGATATTTTTATAAGTGGTGAGTGAAACATTCAGGGCTGTAAGAGGCAACCATCATCGGAAAGGGTGTTCGACAATCTATTTTCTTCTCACAAACTTGCCCACACTCATGTCTTGGCTCTTCACAGGTGAGGTCTCTTTCATTGCACTGATTCATGTGTCCAAGCACTGAACAAAAAGTTGCAGGAATATGACCTTGTCATTCTCTCCAATACCTAAAAGGTCGAACACCCCTGCAATGGCCACTTGGCATGACTATCCAAGTGTCCCCTGATAGAGTCCACACCTTGACTCTATTCACAGAGAACAGATGGGCACAAAGGGCCATTATCTAATACAAAATGAAAGAATGGGTCTGGGGCTCATCTCATTCTCAGCCAACAAGAAAGGGCTGGTGCCCAGCCAGCCTGGGTCAGTGGTTGAGCGTTGACCTATGACTAGGAGGTCATGGTTTGTTCCCTGGTCAGGGCATATGCCCAGGTGTGGGCTTAATCCCCAGTGTGGGGCATGCAGGAGGCAGTCAATCAATGAGTCTCTCTTATCATTGATGTTTCTATCTCTCTCTCCCACTCCGTTCCTCTCAAGAGAAAGAAAGACAAAAAGAAAGAAGGAAGGAAGGAAGGAAGGAAGGGAGGAAGGAAGGAAGGAAGGAAGGAAGGAAGGAAGGAAGGAAGGGCTGGTGACAAAAGGACATAAGGACACCTGGTCACACATCCAAGAGGGCCCAAGGCCACCAGGCAGGGTGTTTTCCCCAAGCAGGTAGGAGATCACTGTTTCCAAATATTTAACTGGTTACTATTTTGTGAAGAATATTCCCTTTGTTATTTCACTTTCTATCCTTCTTTCTTCTCCATTTCATTTGCTTTTTATATCATGAGAGACTGAGATGTTTTGTTTTCAGTTGGATCCAGGTTAGGATGTTCTACAAACCAAAGTAGTTCTTAATGCACATCACCCCTTTGGGTTCAAATATATCATTTATGGCTTTTAGGCCACATCCTCTATCTGAGGTGCACCATTTTCCTCCAGCCTCTGGGAAGGGCTGCAGGGCTATTAATTTGGATTTCCATTGCTTTGTTGGCTCAGAATTTGACATTGAGTCCAGCTGATAAGCTGGTTATTTATACAGGCAGAAATAATCCCTTGATTGCTCTGTCTTCTCTCCCTGTCAGAGAAGTGGTCTGGTGAGGCACCCACTGAGCAAAGCCAGAATTTTTTTTACAAGAGTTTGCACGAAGAGGACTTCAGGCCTTCCTGGGAGGAGCTGGAAAAATAAATTTACCACAGACCAGAAGTGTCCATAGGGAAGGTGCTGACAAGTGAGGCATCACAAAGTAAACAAAATTGCTAGGAAGAATGAAACTTTCCAGGCATCTCTTGGCTCCTTCCACGCAGGGGGAATTCCACTGGTAGCACTGTGCCAAAGACCGAAAGGCTTGGCCTCATCTCTGATTGTCCTCAGGCTAGGGCCAAGTGTTCCTCCTGTGTGGACCTGACAGTCATACACCATGGCTCATTCGGAACCACTCCTTTCCATGGAACCACTCCTTTCCATTTCGCCATGCCTGTAGAATCAAGTGTCACTATTCCAAAGGTTGTATCCAATTCCCTTCAGCTCCATGACAGTGGTGGTTTGTGGAGAACATGACCCAACACGGGAGCTAAACACTGGCCAGCTTGTGGGTCAGGAGGCACCACTTCCAGGGATGGAGTAGAGATGCTGCTTAGCCACCTCATCTGAGCGAAGGGACAAGCCCCGGGGTCTCCTGGCTCGGAGAAGAGCAGTGTGTGAATGGGCCCTCAGATGGAGCCTGTGGTTCCAGGAGACGGTAACAACTATGGCACCAGCTGACAGCTTCACGCCAGAGAGCTTGGTATGTACCAGGCTGTGCTAAGAACTTCCCCTGCAGTATCCCAATTAACCCTCATAATAATCAGTGTGATAGGTACTGGTCACCATGTCCCCCACCTGTCCTCCATGGAGGTGTGTAATGGGGAAGCCAGGATCATACATGGAGCAACCATTGAGAAGATGAACAGGCTGATGTAGACTGTAGGCGACTGTCACTTGAGGTGTCCACCCCATGTTTCCACTTCGCCCGCTGCTTGGCAGGCAGGATGGATTCTGAGCCTACCCTTAGAGCCGGTGGCTATGAATTGTGTTCTCGGGTCAGACTCCATGACATCATGGATACGACCTCCTAAGACCCAGCACAAATACTGCAGGGGCTGATCTATTGGGCAACCAGCCACATAACCTGAATACTAAGTCCAACTCCAACTTGTCCGAGAATATCCATTTTGCCCTGATAAAAGAGGAGACCCAGTGAAATTTCTGCTCAGTGACAGTCTACACAGCAGGGTGCCTGATTCATCTTATGCAGATTCCTTAGCAGAGATGAGGATTTTTGTCCAAGTGATTTACTTGAGAATCCGTCGGACACTGTCCTGTGACCCCAGAACTGATGTGGCTCAGAGATGGCTCTTTCCTATTATTTCCAAAGGGCAGCGAGGGAAGTAAGGGAAGCAGCATAGCGTGTGGGTAAGAAGTGAGAGCATCGTCTTAGGAAGAGCTTAGCTTCAGTCTGGAACACAAACCCTACACAAACTCTTCAACAGGTTAGTCCAGGGGTGGGCAAACTTTTTGACTCGAGGGCCACAATGGGTTCTTAAACTGGACCGGAGGGCCGGAACAAAAGCGTGGATGGAGTGTTTGTGTGAACTAATATAAATTCAAAGTAAACATCATTACATAAAAGGGTACGGTCTTTTTTTTTTTTTAGTTTTATTCATTTCAAACGGGCCCGCGGGCCATAGTTTGCCCACGGCTGGGTTAGTCCCTCCCCGAGGCCAGGCCAGGCCAGTCTGTTGTGAGCCAAGGACTAGGGAAGGGGTTGGGAGAGGGCGTTGCCTCCCAGGTAAAGTGGCTTCCATTCAACTCAGGACAATTCTTCAGACAAGGTGCAGCGATGCCCTAACTGACATAGCACCTGGGAGATGGGTGCCCGTGGTACAGGGAATCTGCAGGGCGCCAGCAGCTT